GGTAGCGGTTCCCCGCAGGCCCGGCTCCCCAGTTCCAGTGGGAACCGGTCCCGGGCCCCGCCGCTCCCCCGAGCCCCACTCACTCGATGTGCGCGGCGCGCCCGGAGCCCTCGATGGTCTTGGCTCCCCAGCGCTGCTCCTTCTCCGAGATGTCGTTCTGCGGAGCCAAGCGGGAACGTCAGCGGGGCCGGGGGCAGCAAACAAAAACTTCGGGAAAACACTGGAGGGGCAGTGAACGTGAAACGTTTCGCCGAAGGTCCCCTGTTCTGCCTCAGCTTTGTTAGGGCCGTACTTGTTTTGTCGTCTTTTTGGAAGGTCTGAACACGGATTTGATGAACTGAAACATCAATAAGCTCTTTCCCAAGATAAGGTAAAGCTAAAAAATTGTATGTATAAGACAGAATAGTAACAATAGTAATAAAGACTGTTCAGGCTTATTTTAAATACTCCACATATAGAAGAAATTAAGTCATTAAAAAAAAGTTGACAGCATCGATTTTTAAAAACACATTAAAAGTCGGAAGAATTTTTTCCTGGAAGTAATTAGGCAACACTGTACTTTTAAAGAACAAGACTCTTGTGTAACAGAAGTGTCTGTCCATCAAAAAACAACCTTGGAAAGGAAATCCAGATCTCAACCAAGCTCATAGACCTATAGCTGTGAAGTGTGGCTGGTGCCCCTTGGTGCCAGGGGGAGATGGACTTTTGTTGTGCTATGTGCTCCTAAGAGGTTTAGAAAAAGGGAATGAGATACTGAGGTCTTGAGGTAGCAAAGGACCTTTGAAGTTAACAAAATACAGGAGACAAAGCAGAAAAATCTTGTGATGTCAAATCAGTGGGTGATAAAATTGTAAATGAAGGTCAGTGTTAATAAGTACAAAAGTAAAGCATCTGGAAAAAAAACTGTCCTAATTATATCTTCAGATCAATGGTTCCAAAATCTTTACCATTCAATTATGTAGAAGAGCAGCAAATACAGAACTGGCTAAAAAACCAAGTATGAGTGACTTTTCCTAATAAGATAGGAATAGAGAATCAAACAGAAAATGAAAGTCATGACACTGAATACATGGGGTTGCCACAGGCTGAGCCCTTCTGTTTCACCCTCTCAGCTAGAGAAATAGAATAGACAGGAAAAAAAAAGCCAGTTCAGAGGCATGGAGCTGCATCTGCACAAGGTGACTGATTCTTCCAGCTGGAAAAAAGACAAATGAGGACAATACTGGAATACTGTACAACTACAAAGTGTGTGGGAAAGGGAAAGCTTAGGCTTTGTATTCCTTATAACAGAAGTGGCGGGGAGGACTCAGTGAAATTCCAGGCAGCAGGTTTAAAAATACCCCAAATATTCTATACTCTTTAAGTGATACTAACTTGTAGTCAGATGTGGGGCACACTGACTGATGTAGGAATTTAGCAGACTGACCCTAGACAAAGGGCAGACATTGCTCAGACAGATGACCGGGGGTACCAGCCTCAGCTGAGCCTGCACAGCCAGCAGTGCTCCTTGCTGTACCAAGCTCCAGGCCCTGCACCAGTTCACCAGCAGACAACAAGGGCCAGTGAGCCCTGCACAGCACCACCAGCACCACCACTATGGGTTGCCACCCCAGGCACTCACCACGAAGTCAGGGTCCGTGTCCCAGTCGTCTCCCTGAGCCTCAACCTTCACTGACACATCATGTCCCACGACTGCTTTCCACATCTGCATGAGGAGGACATGGTGTCACCCAGAGGCACTGGTGGCCATGGGCAGGCCAGACCACAGCAGTCATGGCATGGCTGGAGCTGGAGGAACCTTTGCAGACCATCTGCCCTGCTGACCCTGCTCCTCAGACAGCACCAGGCACCCCAGAACAGCTGCTCCTGAGCCCCAGCACCCCTTTCAGCAAAAGAGGTCTGGTCTGGTGGGAGGTGTCCCTGCCCATGGCAGAAGTTTGGAACTAGATGATCTTTAAGGTCCCTTCCAACCCAAATAATTTGATGCTTTTAAGTGTAAACCACAGTCTTCATGCACCCTGACTCCACAGTTAAAATGCACACTTCATTTAATGTAAATTAGTGCTAGTATCCAACTACCAGATTCTGCTTTTCCAACATACTTCATTTTTCTGTTCTGTGGGAGACTGTTCCCTGCTTTAACCTCCCTTCTAAGCACAGCCAGAGCACTGCAACCAGGCCGTGGCTTGCTCTGCCACCACGGTGCAAGGCTTATTTACCAGAGGTTGGACTCCTCAGGTCTCTCCTCTGTTTTGCAACCTTTTAACCATTGCCAAGTGTTCGAGACAAGGTGCAGGGAAAAGCAGTATGCTGGTCTGGAACGCAGTGAGGTGTCTGTCATACACTGAAACCAGGAAATGGGGCTAAAATCATCATGTGCGGCTCTGAAGCAGCTGAGGCAGCAGCTCATCCTGCCTGCTCAGGGGCCCGGAGGAAGTGACAGAGCCAGAAAGAGGAAGTTAAATAAAAGTAACATGAAATCTAAAATTCCTACATTTCATTTTCAAGGTGGTTGTGAAAAACTGTCATGTAAAGGCCCTTCCTAAAGAACATGGTTTTTACAAAACCACAGACAGAAAAAAGATGGCATGGCCTGCCCACTCCTGCACATGGAGCAATCATTCCCAGCAGCATGTCCCACCATCTCTTACTGCCTGTGCTGTCGAGGAGCACCACATTGTTCTTGCTGTCACCCAAAACAGCTTTTCACTGCTGCAGAGAGAGAGGTTGAACAGAATGTGCACCAAAGCTTGGGCCCTGTTTCACATCCCTTCAAACATCACATAAACCTGTGACCAAGCCAATGGGAAGCAAAACTGTGTTGTGATGGATCCTCATTTAAACAGGATGCTTTTGTTACGTGCTTCTCACTCACTAAACACTCAGTCCCACAGCAACACAGTAGCTACAAACCAGCCTCAAGTGCCCAGGACTGTGGCTTTCTAGGCAAGCAAAATGTTTATGCACTGACAGCATCTTACAAAATCTGAATACAGTGAATTGCAAATAGAAGCAGGAAAGCTCCTGTGGACAGCATAGAACAGTCTGACAATACCTTTCACCTCCTTATCCCCTCACCAATTTATCAGCATCTCTCACTCCAAAGATTTTTTCAAGCTTGTGGCTCATTTCTGTTAATGATAAAACAGCAGCACTAATCACCTACCTAAGGGCTGTTCAACAGGGCAGCTGATTTGAGCAGCAAGCTCAAATGCAGGTGGCCCAGAGTTTTAAGTCCTGCTGTAAATGGCTTTTCACCACCAGCTCTCCAAATCCATCCACCACACGTCTTGGGAACCACGACAAACCACTGACTGTAATCACATCACAAGGCTCCAGACACTCACTATGGCAAGGCATATCAGCCAGAGTAGCAACTCAACCCTTTATTTGTCCCATTTTTCCCCTTGAAAGCATCCACTACAGCACAAATGCAGGACTACCACATAGCACTGTTGATGCTGGTTGATTTGAAGAAGTGGTTCCCTAGAGCCTCAAACACAAGAGCAACAGCAGTGACCAAAGAGCAGCCTGAGAAGCAAATGCCAAGCGCCATCAACTCACACATGCTGGGTCAGGAAGGAGAGCACTTTACCCACCAAAACCCTACAACTTTTTGTTGTTGTTTCTCATTGTCTACTCTCTTACCTTAACCGGCTCACCAGCTCCTGCTGGCAAACTTGCTGCTTTCTGCTCAGGCCCCTGCTGCTAGCGGCAGCTTTTGGGCTGCTGGGAGCGCCCAGTTCCTGTTTCAGCTGCACTTCCTGCGCCCCAACCCCCAGCTCCACTCAAGTCCCAAACCTGCCCTGGTGCTGCTGGTCCTTCGCAAACTGCCTGTGCGCAGGGGTCCTGACCAGGTGTACGCCTGGGATACAAACTGCTGACACCACAAGTAGTGCTCGATGGAGCACAGTTACGTTCCTTAGTGTGCAAAACCAGGCTGTGATCTCCATTTTCATCTCTTCCAAAAAATCATTCTGCCATAAAATTATAGGACAGACAGAAGACTGAAGGCCCTGGGTTTGACAGCTGCAGTGAGCTCCAAATAAAGCAAACTACTGCTTACAGAACTTGTTATGAAATTAATATGAAATAAACACACACAGGCATACATACACACACACACAAGCTCTTCCAGGAAAAACAGCAACAACTAAAAGTAAATAGCTTGAACTAGGACAGAAAGCATGTGGTTAAGAAATTCTAAGCACTTACAGATCAAACTCTTTGGTACATGGCTTACTAGTGTGAAGTGCACAATTTTGGAATGAGTAGTATGAATCACACTAGTTAGTAGATAAACATCTCACACCAAAATAACTTCCTTTCTAAATGAGTCAAGTGACGCAAGAAAAGCTCCTAGAGTAGCAATCTCTATATGACACAATGGCAAGAAATACAAGGCTTAGAATAAAATAGACTAGTTCAGCTGGAAGGGACCTGCAGTGATCATCTAGTCCAACTGCCTGAGCACTTTAGGGCCAAAAGGCACAGCATGTTATCAAGGGCATTGTCCAGATGCCTCTGAAACACTGATAGGCTTGGGGCATCAACCACCTCTCCAGGAAGCCTCTTCAAGTGTGTGCCTCCCCCACCTCCTTGGTAAAGAAATGTTTCCTAATGTCGAGTTGGAACCTCCCCTGATGCAGCTTTGACAATTTCCATGAGTCCTGTCACTGGATCAGACAGCAAAACTGGCCAGAGATATTCCATATATCTACGTAAGCTCAGAGATCACAGAAGACAACTGCTTCCTGCTTCTTCTTCCCTTCTCTTCTGCCCATGGCCAGCATCCTGGGAGGACTCTGTCCATCCATCACCATTGACCCCCCAGGCTGGTGCATCCCTGACCCTCATCACTCTCTCTCTGGCAGCTCTGGGACTTTTCGGGACTGTTCACAGCTCAGGAGATGCTATGGGAGTTGCTGGGGGTGGAGGGAAGCAAGAGGCTTTTGCATATTCCTGAACACATTTGTATATAATTGTATATGTTTTCTTTTATCATTAGTGTTGAATTAAAGCTGTATAGTTTAGTTTTCAGAGAGTCTCTCTCTCTCTCTCATTCTCTCTCTCCTTCCCTACCTGGGTGGGAGGGGATTGAGAGCATTGTTGTCTCTGGTTTAATTGTTGATCCTGAGTCAAATCATGACAGGATCCCATGGAGACCTCAGCACCTCCCTCTCCAGTACAAAAACAGCATAAAAAACCTGACTAAAAATCCAGAAATCATACTAAAATCCACCACCTCCCCTTGACCCATTACGCGGGTAAGCTTATCATAAAAGGATATCAAATTAGTTAAACAGGACTTTCCCTTTGTGAACCTATGTTGACTGTGCCTGAGAAGAGCATTGTCCTTTAAAAGTCTTTCAATACTGACCAGCCTCAACACTGAGATTTGGCCTTTCGTGTCTCCTTCCTGCAGGTGAGAACCACAGCTCTATAATCTTTCTGCAAAGCCTCACCTTGCTTCCAGAGGTCATCCAATTCCTTTTTCCTCTGCAGCTCCACCAGTTCCCTGTTCAGCCAGGCTGGTCTTTTGCCCCACTTACTTGACTTCTGATGCAGCAGTATTTCCTGCTCCTGAGCTTTTCAAAGAGGCTTCCTAAAAACTGACCAGCAGCCACCTACTCAAAAGCAGTTTCCCCGGGGACATGCTACGTAGCTCCCTGCATATCTTAAAGTTTGCTCTCTTGAAGTCCAGGGAGCAACTCTGCTGACCTTTTTCCTCATTACAACGATAATTTCCAGCTCAACCACTTCAAGATCACTGTGGCCAAGACTGCCACCTGCCACACATCTCTCACCAGCCCTTCTCTCCTCACATCCCAACAGCTCTAGGAGGGCATCTTTCCTAGTTGGCTCACTGCATGCTTGTGACAAGTTATTTGCCACAAACTTCAGGAGTTTCACAGACTTGCTTGTCATAACAGTATGGAATTCTCAGTTATGTCTGGGAAGTTGAAATCTCCCATAAGGACAAGGGCTACTGATCCAGATTTCTCCCAGTTGCCCATAGAGTAACTCCTGAGTGCTTACATCCTGGTTGGGCCATGGGTAATTGATGTCCACTACATTATCTCCTTTGTTTCCCATCTCCCTAATCTTCACCCAGAGGCTCTCAACCACATCATCCCTACCTGCCAGGGCTGCAGACAAATCTCTCCCCCACAAGCGGTGCAACTCCTCCCCCTTGCCTGCCCTGCCCACTCTGATTCTGGTTCCCCCGACTCTAGTTAAAGCCCCTCAATGGGTCCCACCCACTTACAAGCGAAGATGCGTTATCCCCATCAGGACAGGGGGTTCACTGCAAGCCCCAGCTCACCTTGTGTTCTAAAAGACTCACCCGTGGTTATAAAAAACAAAGTTCCGCTTGAGGCACCAGTCCTGGAGCCAAGTATTGCTGTCTTGGACACGCCTATTTCTTCCAATGTCTCTCCCCATTGCTGGGAAGATAGAAGAAAATGCTTCCTGTACTCCTGAATCTTTTAGCATTCTTCCCAGGGCCTTGAAATCTCTTTTGATTAACCTTGGACTTCTTGTTGCCAACATCATTAGAACTCACATGAAAGAGCCAGGGTGGGTAACAGCCCAAAGGCTGTGCCAAGCTTGTCCGCTGCCAGGTGACATCCTGGATTTGGGCCCCAGGGAGGCAGCAGACTTCCCTGAAAAAAGGGTCTGCAAGTAGGTGCCTGCAGCGGTGGTGAGGGA